CTGGGCATTTACCTAGAACATCAAGCCATATATACCATAAAGACACGTGTAGATCCATATTCATCGCTGCTCTATTCACAATAGCCAAGTTATGGAAACTTGGCTACAATAGATGAGTGAATCCAAAAAGTGTGGTACTTATACACAATAGAATTCTACACCACCAGTGGAAAAAAATATTATATTCTGCAGGGAAATGAATGGACCTAGAACAAATTATATTACATGAGGTAAACCAAGCTCAGAGAGACCAATGTCACATGTTTTCTTTCCTATGTGAAAGCTAGATCTCAATACCCCAGGGCATGATAAAATATATAGGATTCTAGATACCCACACACAGTGAGACCAAAGGAGGATACTCTTAGGGGAGGAACACAGAGCTGCAATACCTATGTGTCTCTGATCATATAAAGTAGTATTTATTGAAATGAACTCCAAGAAACAGAAACAAGAGGAGCTTTTCTCTGTTGTTGTTTTTATTCGTTTATCTATCTTTAGGAGAGTAATTGTAGGAGGGACACAGAATGGTGAGACAAAGGGTGAACTAATGCAACAGTGGTACTCCCTAGTTACTATGCTGAAAATTAACTATACAACTTGTGCATGGAACTATACAATTTGTGCATGGAAAGGAAAAACTGGGAGAAAAAAGGGGAAGGGATGACACTGTCCCAAAAGAAATGTACTCATTACCTAAATTATGTAAATGGAACTCTTCTGTATATCACCTTTATAATAACGATTTAAAAAATTATTTTTTAGACCTAGAAGAGCCAAAACAATTCTAGGCAAAAAAAAAAAAAAAACCCAACATGGGAGGGATCTTGATGCCAGACTTCAAACTCTCCTATAGAGCCATAATAACAAAGACAGCATAGTACAGGCAAAAAAACAGATCCGAAGACCAATGGAATAGAATAGAAGACCCAGAAGTAAAACCACACACCTACAGTCAGCTGATATTTGACAAAGGAGCCAAAGACATACAGTGGAAGAAACACAGCCTCTTCAACCACTGGTGCTGAGAAAACTGGGTGGCCACGTGCAGAAAACTAAAAGTGGACCCCAGCCTATCACTATGCACCAACATCAACTCAAAATGGATTAAAGACCTTAACATCAAACTCTGAATCTCTGAAACTACTGCAGGACAGAGTAAGAGAGACACTTGAACTTATAGGCACAGGCAGGAACTTCCTGAACAGAGTCCCAGGGTCATAACAAATTGGAGAGAGACTTGACAAATGGGACTACCTTAAAATAAAAAGTTTCTGCACAGCTAAAGCTATAGCAACCAAACTAGAAAGACAACCAACTAATTGGGAAAAAATATTTACCAGCAGTATATCAGACAAGGGGTTAATACCCAGTATATACAGGGAACTCAAGGAACTAATCCCTCCCAAACCTAACAAACCAATTACTAAATGGGCAAGGGAACTAAAGAGAGACTTCTCAGAAGAAGAGATAAAAATGGCAAAGAAACACGTGAGGAAATGTTCACCATCCCTGGTTCTGAAGGAAATGCAAATTAAGACAACCCTGAGATACCACCTTACCCGAGTCAGAATGGCCCACATCCTACAGTCAGCCAATGACAAATGCTGGAGGGGATGCAGAGAAAGAGGAACCCTACCTATTATACTGCTGGTGGGAATGTACACTTATACAACCACTTTGGAAAGCAGTCTGGAGGGTCCTCAGAAAGCTAAATATTGACCTCCCTTATGATCCAGTCATACCATTTCTAGGCATCTATCCTGAACAACAGGAACCAGTATACAAGGACAGCACTGTTCACAATAGCCAGGATATGGAAATAACCCAGATGTCCCACCACAGATGAATGGATCCAAAAAATTGTGGTATCTATACACAATGGAATATTATGCAGACATTAGAAAGGACAAATAATGGCATTTGCAGGGAAATGAATGGAGCTAGAAGAAATCATGTTGAGCAAGGTAAGCTAACTGCAAAGAGACAAACGGCACATGGTCTCCCTGATTAGTGGATGTTAAATCCAAAATGTTAGGTGATATGACAAAATTAACAGGACTTAAGAAACTCATCTGGTCAAATCACTACTAAATAACCCCATGCTGATGATCACATGTATTGTATATGAGCACACCGGAGGGAAACCAGGAGGACGACACAGAACTAGAGGGAATCAGGGGAAAACATACAACAGCAAGACCCATCAGCTGCACTGGACATTGACCAAAATGAACTAAGCAATTCAATGGCAGCGATGGGAGGGAGAGAACAAGTGGGAAAGAGGGAACAGCTGATGCTATGTAAAACAAAAGAAATGTACATACCACCCAATGTGGTAGAAATAACTGTATTGCAAAGCTCACAGAACTCATAAATGTTATAGACTATGATAGACAATTTGCTCCATGAAAGTTAGAATATGTTTGTGACTTTAACTAAGCATCACTCACTATTCCACAATACTGTGAAATTTGGGAAATTTATGTAACCACTTAATCACAATAAAAAATTTGGAAAAAAAAAAGTGAAAGCAGAGAGAGGTTAAAGAAAGAAACAAAAAAATATTTTTTAAAAAAGCCAGAAGCAGAGGTTCAAGTGGCAGAGAGCTAGCTATAAGTGAAAAAGCCAAGTGAGAGCACAAAGCTTTTAAAAAAAAAAAAAAAGACCTATTTTATTTTGCTTTGAAGTTTTTGGAAAAGGTTTATTTTAGTGTAACAGGGTGAAAGCAGGAGGAGCACAAAGGGAGAAAAGCATTTCTGCTTTCCAGCAGGAAATAGCTTTGAAAAGATCTATTTTTAATAAGCAGACATGCTGTTTCTTCATATTTATTCAAAACATAATACTTTTAGCTAAAATATAGCATCAGTACTTCTCTAGTTACCTAGGATTAGTTTAGATTCAATTATAATGCAATGGAAATATTTTTTAAACTGACAATACATAAATTAAAATCAACATGTTTTTGAGGGCCCAAAAGTAGTTTCAAAAAATGGTGCTAGGAAAACACAGGCTTTAAACTTTCAATTTAATATTCAAAAATTCTATCACCTCACAGTATTTACAAAATCACAAAGGATCAAACAAAATTTCAGAACCATCTCCTCCAAGAAGAAAAAAGATGAATATAATATACTAGAAGAAATTCAAGTTTTGTTTAGTTAAATTGAGTCCCAAATCAACTTTCCACTTTATGTTGTAACCAACTTAATTTCACTGTGTGCTGAAACCAACATACTGAGTTGGGGATTTGGAAATGAGGAATTAGAATCCCTGAAATGCTTTTATTACTGTAGATCAGATTAGAACCATTAAGCTTAGGGGTACTTAGAAAGAATTTGGCATTTGTGCTGTTTACTGCTGAGCAATATATTTCTAGTATTGCTCAACATATATTCCATGAGGGCTGGGAAGGTGGCTCAGTGGTAGAGTGCTTGCCTTGCATGTATTAGGCCCTGGGTTCAATTCCTCAGCACCACATAAGCAGAAAAAGCCGGGAGTGGCACTGTGGTTCAAGTGGTAGAGCACTAGCCTTGAACTGAAGAGCTGAGGGACAGTGCCCAGGCCCAGAGTTCAGGCCCATGACTGAAAAAAAAACAAACATATATTCCATGAATAAAAAGAGAGCAAGAAAGCAACCAAGCATGAGCCTGTCTCTTATGCAACAGAATTTAATTAATATATATCCTTAAGCTGTAATTATGATGAGCTTGTATTGGATTAAGCCAGACTACACAGCATGGAAGGCATTTTTAGAAATCTGAATTTCCATGTGGAGCTCTACCTAGAAAGACTACAGAGCATAAAATACTGAAGTCTAACTATAGGCCATAGAGATATGAATTCAAAGTCTTCATGAAGAGCAAAGGGTCAATGGAACTAAAATCACTTCTACTAAGGTCCAGAAATGAGAAATGGGTTAAAATAGAGTAATTTAGAATTAAGGAAAAACTTGCCAGGAGAAATGCTGTGACACTGCACATTAAACACTGAATAGCAGGACACCTAACATGACAGATTGGAAACTAAATCCTTGCAAGTCCCAAAGTCAGCTATAAATACACTTCTGTTTAGAATGAGTCTTATACTATACTAAATAGAAGAAGGTTAATATACAAAGTAATCTTGTAAGTGGATTAAAATATCTAGAACATGTGATTTTCTACCCTGAACTAAATTAATTTAGATCTAACACTGTAAAATAAAAATGAGCTCAAGAACACAGTAGTAAAAGGTTAAGTATTTGGAAGTAGAAAATATCTGTCTATGTATATACAGAGGTGTGTGTCTGTATGCGTGTGTGTGTGCGTGCGTGTGTGTGTGTGCGCGCATGCGCGCGCACTTAAATTTTTTCCACATTCTTTGGTCTGAAATCAATGACTCTCAACTGTCCAGCTTTCAAGGTCATTCCAGTCCCCTGGTTATCATTTGTACAATGAAATGATAGGCATCTATATCAAAGGTACTGTTACCTCAACTCCTTATAGGTTCCTTCTCAAAATGTGTGGCCTATCATGCCTTCTCTTTCTCAAGCCCCTCTTTTCCTTCCTTGTTCAATTTGTGGAGGAAAACCCCACGTGTGGCCAGGCCAGTTACTGACCGCTCTAAGAGATGGTTTTACACAAAGTGCTCCAGCTTTACCTAGAAGACCCTTAAATGTATCTCCGCATGTTATGAACTTACAGGGCTTCACACATGAGGCAGGAGAGAAATCTGTCCCTCTGGGGTTTGGTTTTCTACTACAATTTACTAAACATCAAAAGGTTTTACTACAGTCATAAAACCCATTGTTAAAAAACTCTGAAATATTCTTAAATATCTCAGTATCACAATGCCAGATTATGACTCTCATTACATGAAGTGAATTTCTTGAGATAGCAAAGGGGTCTCCTTATTAACCCACTCATCCTTGTTCAATACTCCAGTCTTCTGCCCTGAGACACAGTCCATTAAAGATCTCTCTTTTGTAATGAAAACACAAGCATGAAAACTGACTTTACCTTGTATTTCATCTTGGCACAGGAATGAATGTAGAAACCCATGTAGTAATAGCAGAGCTGAGATGTTTGTTCATGAAGTTGCCTAGCAAAAGCAATTTCTCTGCCAAAAGAAGATGAAAGTAAAGTTAATTCTGGCTCCAATTTTAAAAACAAAACAAAAAACTCTATGTAATCTGATGGCAAATATTTGGTAAAATATGACTATTAAGTATAAAAAGAAACAACTCCTGAAAGAAAAATAATTTTCAAAACACTAAGATGATTATTACTTGAGCAAAAGGCATCAAAGTTCAGTAGGGTGCCGGTGGCTCAAACCTATAATCCTAGCTAGGAGGCTGAGATCTGAGGATTGTGGTTCAAAGCCAGCCAGGGCAGAAAAGTTCATGAGACTCTCATCCCCAATTTACCACCAAAAAAGCCAGAAGTGAAGCTGTTGCTCAAATGGTAGAGCACTAGCCTTAGAAGGTGCCCAGGCCTTGAGTTCAAATGCCAGGATTGGCACTAAAAAGAGAAAAAAATAAGGTAACAAAGTTTAGAGGTATGTACATTAGGCAAGTAATGATCTAAAATTCAAATAAAATTAGAGAAAGCTACAAGCATCAAATTAAAGAAAGCTACAGTGTCTGGTTATTATTCATTATGTCCTCCAATTTTCAAAACATCTGGGCTGCTAACAGAATAAAACAGTACATTAAAACTCAAAAGCCAATAAACACTAGGAAGAATAACTATTATTATCATTAACATGAAAATATTTTCAGGCATGTATGATACATAACTTATTCTTGTAGCTGGGTGCAAATTTAATGTCTATTATCCTACAGAAAGAAAGGTGAAAAGTACCAAGATATATAACCTGGCTTTCTTTATCTCATTTCTCAGAGTCAGTTCTAAGTAGAACCTGAGTGCATTTCTAAAGCATGAGGAAAACTTTTATTTTTGCTTGACTCTTGAAGGTTTTATGGTTTTTTTTTTCTTTTTTCTTCTTTTAGCTGTATGGATGTTTGAAATTCAGGGAAATTTTTTTTTCTTTTTTCTTTTTTTGGTTGGTTGTGGGGCTTGAACTCTGGGCTTGGGCGCTGTCCCTGCACTCTTCAGCTCAAGGCTAGCGCTCTACCACTTGCGCTACAGCGCCACTTCTGGTTTTCTGGTGGTTTACTGGAGATAAAGAGTTTCGCAGACTTTCCTGCCTGGGTTGGCTTTGAACTGTGATCCTCAGATCTCAGCCTCCTGAGTAGCTAGGATTACAGGCATGAGCCACCAGCACCCGGCTCAGGGAAATTTTTAATGGAATAAATATTCTGCTTATTTTGCAAGTTCAAATTTGCACTGTTGATAAGTTGCTAACCCCAAAATTCATCTTTAAGTTATATGTATTTTTAAATAGAAGCAGAGCAAACAATAGTCTGTATTCCTAGCTACTCAGGAGGCTGATATCTGAGGATCACATTTCCAAGCCAGCTAGGGAAGACAAATCCAAGAGCCTATTAATTCCAATTAACTAGTAAAAAGCCAGAAGCAAGGCTCAAGTGGTAGAGCACCAGCCTTGAGTGAAAAAAGCTAAGCAAGAACTCAAGGCCTTGAAGTCAAACCCCAGTATCAACACAGGCACACACACATACACATGCACATGCTCTCTCACACACACACACAAACCCCTAACATACTATATAAAAACCTGAAAATATAAAACTCTATTGATTGTAGGATTGCTTGAGAAACTAGGGGGGGCGGGGAGTATGAAACAGAGTTCACTGAAACACATTAAATTCAACAGTCAAATTAGCATTTTTTAATCTGCTTTCCTTATTTTCCTTCAAAATGTTAGTCTCCTGTTTCCTCGTCTATCAACTCAACAACTCATCTTTCAAGAACACTGACAGGTGGCATGCAAGTGCACGTGTGGGTGCACACATGTGCACACACACACAAGCAGGAATAAAGGTATTTTCATGAAAACCCCAATCTTCATACAATTAAAAAATTGCACTGTGTTATGTACATATGTATGTATAGCCAAGACCAGAAGGAAAACCATCTTCTAATGAGGGTCATAGAATCCAGATATAAGCCAGGCATTTTCATCCTGCTTTGTAGCCTGAGATAGTTACATGTCCATAATGATGTTCAATCAACAACATAACCATAAAGGAATTCTGTCCAGTATCATCATGTCACTCCAGTTTGTATACACACACTCTGCAATGACTGTACAACCACAAAACTGCCTAATGAAACATTTCTCAAAATGCTTTCCCTTCCTTGGGCAATGTGGGACTGGAAACCAGCATTTCTTTCAGAAGACATAGGTTTTTATTCATTTATACCACATTAACTTCTAATTGACAGTGGAAGAATATGTATGATACTGATGACAACATTTAAGGGACAACATTTAAGGAACTTCAGTGGTATTGATACGAGAGTTTAAACAAATGGATGAAAATACCAGAAGCATCAAAACAATGGTTTCCTATACACTGGCATGTGTGGAAACATTAAAGTCTTACAAAATTACCATCAGATATGGCATTAGTTTTTTTTACAAGTGTTGTTTATAAATACCAATGTATAATAAAGATTATAGCAACAAACTATTATATATACTGTCAAGTAGGATTTCTACCCTACTCTGAAATATGACCAAATGAGTAATTATTTGAAGTTCTCTGTAACCCATTACAACTGCAAAAAGCAATCTTACCGTAAGGCAGAGTAGACCCCCAGCGATAGAAATGAATAACCAGGATCATAGTACAAGTAGACAGATGACACGCAGTGTGGAAGGATGTCAATCACCCCTACGGCAATGATCTTTCCATCAAGCCAGTACTGCTGGTGGAAGGAGCCATATCCACACTCTGGTCCATTAGGGGGATTTTCTGCCTGTGAAACGCAGACACAAGAACATAACCAGTCAGCAGTGTTTCCTCCACTTTAAAAGCTCATAATTAGCTTAGTACACTTCTGTTTTACTTAAGTTACTAAGTCTTAAAATTTCCTCTTTGTTGCCATCATCTATGCTTTGCACAATCTACGTTAAATTGAAAAACATTTTACTTATAGAAACACTAAGCAGCCGGGCGCTGGTGGCTCACGCCCGTAATCCTAGCTACTCAGGAGGCTGAGATCTGAGGATCGTGGTTCAAAGCCAGCCCAGGCAGGAGAGACTGTGAGACTCCCATCTCCAATAAACCACCAGAAAACCGGAAGTGGTGCTGTAGCTCAAGTGGTAGAGTGCTCGCCTTGAGCTGAAGAGCTGAGGGACAGTGCCCAGGCCCAGAGTTCAAGCCCCATGACCGAAAAAAAAAAAAAAAAAAAGAAACACTAAGCAAACCAAAGGATAAATGGCAAAGTCAGAGAAAGGGGAAAGGAAGAGGGAGGGAAGAATGGACAGTGAGGGGCAGGGGGATGGGGACGGTTTACACAGGTACAGGGGTACAGGTGGCTTGAAGGATTAATGTATAAAGTTCTATAGCACAGGAGGATAACTGTGGTTGACAAAAATTAAAATTAATATTTCAAATGACCCAGTAGAGAGGATTTGACTGAGCCAAATATGAAGTCTAAGGGACAAGTCTGCCAATTACTCTGATCAGATTATACCTGATATACATATTTTGAAATGTCTCACTGCATCCCATAAGCATATACAATTACTGTGTGCCAATTAAAAATAAACATTATTTAAAAATTAAAATCTTCAATTTACTTATTTTAATATTTGAAAATAAGAAATGTAAAATTTCTTCTGTTCCACATGAAGGATGGAAAGAAATGATGTGTGAGAGGAAGACAGAGAACATAAAAGGTAAAGGCTGGGTAGAAAATGTGGGGTCCCCATGCTGCCACTCAAACTTTGTCTGTGACACAGCAGCACTGACAAAGCACAGGATTCCCTTGTTTTCCCTAGGTACAAATACCTATGCAAGTACAAAGGGCTACCACACTTCTTACTAGTTCAAAGAAAGTAAAAGGTTCCTATCATTCTCATAATATAACTATAATCCTAAAGAAGAACTCTAGAGATTTTGGAGTATAACCATATTTTTATAAATTCAGCTAAAGGACATTTCTCATTCTAAAATTCAACATGACTTTAAGGGCAACTATTCGTAAAACATATCATTTTACCACACAATAAAATATATGAAGGAGTACAAAAATGTTTAACTGGAGACTAAATGGAGATTGTAAATGAACAATTTTAGTATATAAAAACAACTTGTACACCACTTTTACACAATTAAAATAACTGAAAATGTATGTAGATAAAAGCTGGAGAGTATGGGCTGGGAAGGTGGCTCAGTGGTAGAGCGCTTGCCTTGCATGCTCAAGGTCCTGGATTCGATTCCTCAGCATCACATAAGCAAAAAGAAAAAAGCCGGAAGTAGCGCTGTGGCTCAAGTGGTAGAGCGCTAGCCTTGAGCTGAAGAGCTGAAGGACAGCGCCCAGGCCCAGAGTTCAGGCGCCACGACCGGACCCAAAAAAAAAAAAAAAAAAAGCTGGAGAGTAATAAAGGAAAATGTTAAAAGCCTGTTTGTGAACATCAAAACTAGAAAGAAGATCTATGATTCAATACCTCTGGTGAAAATATATGCAAAAAGCTTTACTAAAATATTAGCAAAGCCAAACCAACAAAAATTACTTATCCTGTCCAAAAAAGATTTCAGGTATTCAAGACTGGTTTAGCATGAGAAAAACAGAGGAAGAAAGAAGGAAAGAAGAGAAGAGGCTCAGACAAAACTTTGAGACACTAGCAATTCCAAAACTACAAGCAAAAAAACAGGACTGTGGGTATGACTCAAAGGGTAGTAAGCTTGTCTAGGAAGCATGAGGCTCTAAAGTAAAAAGTAACTAAGCACACACACACAGAAACTTTATTTAAATACATGCATTAGGCTAAAGATGCCAATCTGATGGACTATACCCTATAAGACCAAAGTAAAGTAACAGCAAATGATCAGTTAAATGCAGAGGCCTTTAGGTGGTCAAACTGTTCTGAATGGTAGCAGTAGATATATCACACATTTATCAAAACTCATATAAGTTTTCAACCCAAAGTGTAAATTATGCAAAATTTTTGAAAAATCATCTAAGAAGTTGACAGATCCCATAAAAGCACTCACGATGTGAGAAGAGACTCTAACAGCATTACAAATGTATGGAGAATCTTACTAAAGGAGCTAGGTCAAACTACAGTTCCCATTTTAATATACAAAACAGGTATTTCAAGACTTCCCCGAATGAGTTCAAATTTGTGGCCATACAAAACCATGCACATGGATACTTAGAACTGTGTTATAGTAATTGGCAAAACCTAGAAATACTCACATGTCTTTCCCCAGGTAAATGGGTTAGCAAACTATTATAGTCATATAAAGGACTATTACTGACTGATAAGAAATGAGCTAGCTATCCAAGATGGGCGCTCAGCCCTATAATCCTAGCTACTCAGAAGGCTAAGGTCTGAGGATCAAGGTTCAAAGCCAGCCTGCGCAGGAAAGTCCATGAGACTCTTATCTCCAATTAATCACCAGCAAACCAGAAGTGGTGCTGTGGCTCAAGTGGCAGAGCACTATTCAAGCCCCCACTAAAAAAAAAAAAAAAAAAAAGCTATCCAAGTAACAAAATGAAGGAACCTAAGCATACTGCTATGTGAAAGAAGTTTATGTGGAAGGGTTACATACTGTAATTTCAACTACATTAAATTCTTGAAGAGCAAAACATAGAGAGAATATATTGATCAGTGGTTACCAGGAGATGATAGGAGAAAGAGAAGAACAGATAGAACACAAAGATTTCTATACAATGCAGTAATGGTGGATACTTCTCTATGCATTTGTCATCATGCTGAGAATGAACCATACAAATAACGAATCCTAATGTAAACACTTTAACGATAATAATGCATCAATATTGGCCCAACAGTTGTAATATATTTACCACACACTACTATGGCTTGCCTATTGTTTATCACCTCCTAAAATTGTGCTGAGACTGAAGCCCCATTATGACCTACTCAGAGGGATGGATGGGGGTGAGACTTTGAGGAAGCAGTGCTCTGCCCTCCGGAACAGACCAGATCTGCTATACAAGCCAGTTTGGCGGGTTCTCCTTCACGTTTCTCTCTTTTGTCACTATGCCCTCTAGTGCCTCAGGACTCTGTCTAAAGGAAGACCATCACAGATTCATAGGTATAGTCATTCAATCTTGAACCAGAACCAGGAACCGAACAAAACAAAACCTCTCTTCTTTGTAGCCTATCTAGACTTTCGTATTGTGTTAACGGAGAGTAATCTAAGATGCACATTGAAGATGTAAATAAGGGAAAGGAAACTTTTGTAAAAACCAATTAAGTCTATTAATACTTTAAAAATCTCTCATAAAAAATAAACAAAATAACCTGTTGCTATGGAGTTCTCAGAGGTTCATTATACTCTTCTGTGTATGTTCCAGAAGATCCATTTTTTTAAGGTCTGGGGATGTAGCTCTGTGATAAAACACTTACCTAGCAGGCACAAGGTCAGTCCTTAAATATAAAGCCTTTCAAGATTTAAAGCTTCATTTTTAGCTATATTCTATTTTTATGTCTATTGTTATATCTCATTTTGTAAACTATTCACAAACAATGTTATTATGCCATTATTCAATAACTGTTCAATGGTACCCTCAGAAAAAAATATTAGTACTTATCACAAACTAAGATGTTGCTATCTAAGTTCACAAACATTAGATATCATCTACAATAAACATACCAATTTCAACTTTCGTATTTGGTGGAATCACTTTTGAGAAGGAATACATGAAAGGTTAAAACTAAGTCATCCCAAACTTGGAACTTAGTTAGCCTCAGACAGGAACAGAATCGGGTGAGGAAAACGAAGGGGGACAGGTTAAGATTCACACATTTTGAGTTTGAGTGGTTTCACTAGGCAAAACTGGAGTCCATGTTAGAACCTGGAGATAGGAATTTCCTAAAGTAGATTGTAAATCCTAAAGCATATAGAAATCACAAGAGAAACTATGGGTCAAGAGGACAAATGCTCTGCTCATAGGCACACTGATAATAGGCAGCGTAGATGGATTTTATCCCTCCTTTCAGGGAACACTGGGTTACAGCAGCCATCTCTGCATCTCCTGTTCACTTATTAGAAACTCAGCACTTCAGATCTCAGCCCCATCCCGACCTACAGACTCAGCAACCTACATTTTAACAGGATATACAAACATTCTGTTCTCACATCTGAGTGTGATATACTTACTTAGACAATAAGCAGGAGACAAGCCACCCTGACTGGATGCAAAGTCCAAGTAAGATCCGGAGGCAGTAGGAAAAGAGATAAGGCCTACCAGCTGAGGCTTGAGAAGAAGAGGCTTTAGATCAACTAAAGGCACCCAAGATAGTAAGGGGGGAGGTAGTTCCAGGGCAGGGTCCACACTTTAGAGACCCTGTGAACAGAGACCTTCATCTTTACATAGGTCTAACAAGTAGCCTGACTTTGGGCCAATCAAAAAACCAACCAGAAAATACGTGTGTGTGTGTATTTGTATATTTGAAAAAAAAAAAAAACAACTGTAAGGATCTCAAACATAAAACTGCTTCTTCCAGAGTGTTAGATTAAAGAGAGGAAAAAGAAAGGCTTTCATATTACTTTTGCGATTACTGAGTGAATTAGATGGACATATATTACATATCTACCAGAACAAAATACATCCATATAAATTATGCAGCCACTGATGACTGGGGGTACTCTCCAGCTTCCGCAGCCCAACGAGGTCATTCACTTAAATGAGTCTTCCAAGACTCAGTCCTCTTACTAGAAAAGTCGCCCTAAGTCACTGTTTATTATTATCTTGAGAATTCTGCCCCATTACGTGGGAAC